TTTCCCTTTGGGGTTGCTGTAGGTGATCTGGAAGTCTGTTTTTGAAGCTTGTTTGCATGTCTTCTCATTTCCATGGATGGGGGAGGGGGGGCAGTGCTTCTGGCACCCACGTGGCTCATCTTCTCTGCCCTAGGAGTGTGGAACAGTGGCAGGGGAGCCTCTTCCCGGGAGCTGGAACTGGCTCACCTTCTCTGCCCTAGGAGTGTGGAATGGTGGCAGGGGAGCCTCTTCCTGGGCATTGGGATTGGCTCACCTTCTCTGTCCTAGGAGCGTGGAATGGCAGTGGGGGGCACCTCTTCCTGGGTGCTGGGATTGGCTTACCTTCTCTGCCCTAGGAGCAGGGAATGGCGGTGGGGGAGCCTGTTCCTGGTTGCTGGGATTGGCTCACCTTCTCTGGATTGGTTAGATGTTTAAAAGAGGGCATGACCTGAAGTATAGGAGGGGAGGGTTGTGACAAATATTAGATTTTTTTAGGACTTAGCCCTGGAGCATTGGAAGTTTTTACCTTTTTTTCCCCAAATGCTGCTGAGGATGTTGGAGCTCTATCTGCCCAGAGCAGTGATCAAAAGCTTGGCGACAGAGGTCCACACGTGTTAAGTCCCTGGACCTTTTCAGAGGTGATTTTAGTTGAGTCCTGAGAGCTCTTGCAGAACCCAGGCCCTCTCCCAAATGCTGCATGTAAACCCGGTAGTGCACTTATCAAATGGCAGCCAGTTTCCATGCAGTTAATTCTTGGTTAAATATAGTTTCATGCATTTAATAATTTGGAATCTGTTTTGAGGTCAGTATTGCAGTTCATACAAAGAGTTATAAAAATGGTCAAATATACCATGACCCTTTAATCTGATTCCTGGGAATTTATCCCTCAGAAATAATTCAGGAGAAAAAAATGAAAAAGAAAGAAGGAAAGAAAAGTTAAGCCCTTAAAAGTAGCAAGCTAATTTACATAATATGAATGTCCAACAGAATTTCTGTGAGGAAGTCTATTTTTATATATGAAAAATGAACATGGATAGATGTTGTTGGAGGAGATATTTACCGGAAGTGGTCCTATAAAGTCACATAACAGTATTTACAAAATAACGCATAGTGAAAAAAGAACACAGAATTGTATATACACAGATTATAATAGTCTTACAGTTCTGAGTCTATGTAAATAGTTTGATAAGGGTTGTAAAGAAAATTTAAATTCTGTTGCATAAGAATTACATGCATGGTGGGACACACCTGTCATCCCAGCACTGGGGAGGTTAAATAAAGCAGGAGGATTGCTGCAAGTTGGAAGCCAGCCTGGGCTACATAGGGAGTGCAAAGCCACCCTGAACTACATAGTGAGACTCTGTCTCAAAAAAAAAAAAGTAAGGTTGTGGGCAATATTTTCAAACTGTTTGTAATCTTTTCCCAGCATGTGTTATTAATAACAGTGTAACATGATCACAATGCTAGTCTGGGCAAAAATTGAATTGTACTATGACAGCAGCACCTATTTTAGATGATTGGAAAAATCTCTACACTAACATGATAGCAAGCACTTAAACTGAGCCACCTCAAAATAATATCTATTCAAAATTCTTATCTGAAAAGAAAACAATTTTGGTTATTCCATGTATTTTTTTCTGATAGAAAATTTAGAAAATACAGAAAAGTTTTGCAAATCTGTAAAAACTAATCACTCAATTCTATCACACATAAATGACCATAGTTTTGCATTATTTTTTCTATGTGTATATTTAAACTTACAGGTTTTATGTACTGGAGGATTTTAAATAGGCTGTTATGGCTTGTGTTTAGATGTCCCTCCAAAGCATGTGGCCATAGGTGGGGCTTTTTTCTGAGGTGGCTGACCCAGAGTGTGTGATGCTGGAATTGATTCATGCTGGGCTCAAAGACGCTAAGATTGAGGATGTGAGTTCGAGCCACCCTAGATAGCCTGGACAAGATAAAAAGGGCAGAAAGATGCTGCTAAGTCCCCTTGTTGCCATTGCTGTCTTCTGCTTACCATGAGTTTCTCCTCTGTGACACCCCTCTGCCTTGGAGGCAGCCAACTATGGACTGAAACCTCTGCAATCTGTGAGCTAACCCTTTCCCCCGTTAACTTTGGGTGTCAGGTTTTTTGTCTCAGCAAAGAGAGAAAAGTAACTAAGACATAGACTTAAATTATTTTGTAACCTCTGTTTTTAGCAGAAAAGTTAAAGATACACATTTTCATGTGGGTGTGCTACTAGAGCCATTTCTTAGGGGCTTGGAATAGGATGAAACAAATGCATATGTTGATTTCCCCCCCCTCTGCTATAGAAATTGGTGTATTAGCCAAGACTTTCATTGACCAAGGGAAGCTCATTCCAGATGATGTCATGACTCGGCTGGCCCTGCATGAGCTGAAAAATCTCACCCAGGAAAGCTGGCTGTTGGATGGTAAGTGGTGTGTTGTGAGCATTTCTAATTTTTTTTTTTTTGGTACTGGGGATCGAACTCAGGACCTTGCACTTGCGAGGCAGGTTCTGGAACCACTGAGCTAAATTCCCGGCCCCTGTTGTGAGCATTTCTGTGAGCAAAAAGTTGAGCATTTCATGGGCTATGGTCAGTCCCATCAGGAATGGCAGTCAGGGGGCTTGAGTTCTGCCACTTACTACCCTGCAGCCTTGGGCCATTTTATTTTAGCCTGGTTCTTTATCTAAAAGGAAAGAGGGAAATGGACTGCATGATTTCTAAATTCTCTTCAGATGTACAAGTAATATTAGTTCAGTTCCCCCACTTTTGAGGGTATTTAATGATGCGGAAGGCTCACCATAATAGCAAGAAGCCCCTGGAGTAACTCAAGAGTGAGCTGCAAAATTCTCCAGCCAGAGGTAATCCGTGAGGTGGAATTTTAGTTCCTAATCACTGCTTTGTTGATATAGAGAAGACGCAAAAGAGATTTGTTGAGAAATCTGCTGTAATTCTAATGGGTTTACCTTTATAAATGATTCACTGCTTTCCCTAACAGCTTTTTTTTTTTTTCCTACCGGGGATCAAACTCTCGAGCTTGAGCTTATGAGGCAGGCAGCGGAACGACAGAGCTAAATCCCTGGCCCAAGATTTGTCTGTTTTTTTTTTAAACTGAAATTAGCTTTTTCTTCAGGATTGAAGTCATAATGCCCTGTTTTGGGAGAGGATACGCTACTGTGCCTTGCTTGTTATTGATCTGTTCTCTCCTACTCAACCCTAGTCCCCCACCTTTTTGCACAGGCACTAGTGCTGTTTCACCAAGTCTGGTGGCCCTGCCACGTGCCGTCTCCTGGAAGGTTCATTATTTTCTAATTTGTACAAAGGTTCCAAGTGGATTAGACTAGTATCAGGAAGGTGAAGGAGAGGACAAGTGAAGGAGAGGCTGGGCAGAGCACTTACTGTAGTGTATTTGTAGGAGCTAATATCAGGAAGTTTGCCTACGTGTCCATTGACTGTGCCTGCTGTCAATATTTGCAAAGAATCTTGAGGACTCAGAAATTCTTTTTTTTTTTTAAATTAAAACCTGTGGAAATTTTAATCTGATGTTACTTACTACATTTAAACATAATCCAAACACAGGAAGACAATCTTCAACTCCAGCCCCATGTTCAAGATAGAAGCCTTTAAGAAAAGAAAAAAGCTATCTTTGTGTGCCACAACCTAAAAATTGGAATACCAAATCTATAGAGCTGAGGTTCTGCTCATATCCTGAGCTTTATAATTAACTTTAGTCTCAGAACAAAATCTTCCATCACTTTAATCTGTATGTGTTGACATTTTGTTTTTGCTTTGTTTTTGGAGGCAGAGTCTCACTATATAGTCCAGGCTTCATTCCTCTTGCCTCAGCCTCAGGAGTCCCATTATCACAGGTTTGTACCACTGTGTCTGACAGTAATATTCCTTCTTATATGTGTCAAAACTCATACTGAACAATGAGTTCTGGATTGCAAAAGAGGATTTATTTTTTTGCACCTGTCCATGAAGGACTCAGAAATTCTTGAAACATTTGTAGAAGGTTTTCAGTGAGTAGAGACTATGCTAATAGATCTTGTGCACACCATTCTTCTTATATTTATTCATTACACAAATACTGACTGAGTGCTTTTGATGTGCCAAAAATTTTTGAGGCTCTGAGCCTAAATGTGAACAAAATCCCTGCCAGCGTGTGATATACATTCTAGCAGGAGACATGTAGTAAACAAGTAAACAGAAATTTAGGTAAGTACAGAAACCAATAAGTGCTTTGAGATAAAAGCTGTTGTGAATATAGTAATGTGGGAGGAAGTATCTACTACTTATTTTCTAAAGAAAGTATACATACATGGTTCAGAATTAAAAACTTCATTTTTAAGAGTTTAGTGAAGTCTTGCTTCTTTTTTCATGAGATGGAAGAATTTTGAAGCATTCCCCTTTGTGGGAGGTATTATATGAGTTAAGAGACAGGTCATGTTAGGCTGTAGGAATACAGTATTCAGAGGCAGAGTGGAGATGCAGTCCAGCACAGGAAAGTGGCAAATTACCCATGAAACTAGCCCCTGGTCATCATCACTGGGCACAAATGGGGAGTGGGCCAAAGACAGGGACACAAGGGAAGGATTTGGGATGGGAAACCATTATTATTTTTGATTTTAAAAATCATTGTTCTATTCCAATAATACTTTTTCCTTTTAAAAATTAAAAAGGATGTAAATTTATGAAAGACTTAAAGTCCTCAATGGTCATATCCTTTAGGAGCAAGTTCAGTAATTCAAATGGGCTTTTTCCTGTAGTTAGCGATAAAAAGATACACACTTACATATACATATATATGTATGAAGATTCCCTCTCCCCCACCATGTAATATCAAATACTACTTTTCGAATCTGTATACACATGCACACACAGCATATATATATGCCATTTTTTGGCATTTTGTTTTTTCACTGAAACTATATTTAACAGGTTTACCTCATTGAAATAAACTAGGCAGAAGCTTGCATTTTGAAGTATGTATCACATTCCAGTTAATCCCCTACCTAGGAATATTTGGGTCACATCCAGCTCTTCACTGTTGGGGGATGCTGTGGAAACTGTCTTTAGGTTTCTGTTCCTGTTAGAGGCCATTTTCATTCAGCTCGTTTCTTCCAGTGAACGTCTGGTTCTCAGTTCATGAGTGTAAAACTTTTAACCAGAACTATAGCAGTAGACAGGTATTTTTACCAAGACTTTTTGTTTTTCTTCAATGCATATTCCATGTTTACATGCATAGGTGTTGAGTTAAATAGCTTGTGTTCAAATTGTACTTCCTCTGCTTAGTTAATGGCTACAGCAAGTTACTCAGCCTCACTGTGCCTAGATCTCCTCATTTGTAGAGTGGTAATAAAGTAGTACCTCTCTTATGGTGATTATGACAGTTGAAAGAAATGATCCTTAGAAAACGTTTGGCATACAGATCCTGGCACCTGGAAAGCACTCAATATATTTAGCCATTATATTCCATTTATTCTTATTAAATGTATTAAAGTTGTTTTCCAGGGCTAGGGATTTAGCTCAGTGGCACCATGCCAATCCCAAGTACACTCCCCCCACCCCAAATTGTTTTCCTCAGGACCACTTACTTCAATGTAAACTTGATAATAAATGCTTAATTTATTATTCAGTTTTGGTGCTATAAAATTGTCCTTCTTTTTTTAATTTTTCCTTTGGTACCGGGGATCGAACTCAGGTCCTTGCGCTTGTGCAGCAGGCAGTGAAACCACTGAGCTAAATCCCAGGCCCTGGTGCTATAAAATTGTATAGTTTGAGCTTTTTGCCATTACAAAAAAACTGTGGTCTGTGCATGTGCTGAAGTAGGAGCCTTATTGTAGACTTTTAAAGCAAAACAAAACAAAACCCAAGGTAAAAAATATATAAATACAATATATATTTTCTTACAAAAATGGGAGATTTATAAAATACATGTATTTCACTTGTCTGTTCTACAAATTTCACATGCACTTAGGAGATAACAACACAAAAGATGCCAAAACCTGTGTAGTGGCAGTTTTTAAAAAATCTGACAGAGCTGGGCATGGTGGTGCACGCCTGTAATCCCAGCACTTAGGAGGCTGAGGCAGGAGAATCGCCAGGAGTTCCAAGCCAGCCTGGGCTACATAGTAAGTTCAAGGCCAGCCTGAACTGTACAGTGAGACCCTGACTTAAAAAACAAAACAACAGCAACAAAACCTGACAGTTGTGACAACTTTGAAGGTTTAAGAAATACAAGATCAATTTTAACTTTAATGTAAAAGCAGCTCAACTCGACTACTACATATATAAAGTAACTTGTATTCCTCACAGTACCCTCTGATTGGCATTTAAACACTGAGAAACAAGATCATGTTGCAAGACTGGAGAGTAGTGTCAAAAGTGGAGTAAAGGTTAGCACTCATGATCCTCTGCTCAGCTTTATGCCATTATGCAAAAGGACTAGAATTCTATTACACAAAAAAGTACGTGATTTACGATTAACAACTTAAGTCTTCCAGCATATTTCAAAGAACTCCAGAATCAGAATCATTATAAGCTTTCTTTGGAGGCCCTTTTCCCCAAATCTGGTTTCCTGGGTACAGTTTTAGCCATTATCATTGTTATTTTAGCACATTATAAAGTCTAAGTCATAGGCAAATTTTTCCATGTTTTAGTGTTAACACGGAAATGTATTTTTAGCTCTAAAAAATTATTGCATGTGCATTTTTAATCTTTTGTCACTTTTGAAAAATATATTCTACCCATTTTAACTTTTCTTGGTGTTCTAGAGAATATGTCCTTAGTGCTGACATTGCAGTCAAATATTTAGTATCAAAATATTATTTTTAATTTTCTAATATACTTTGTTCTATTTATGGATTCACTAATCAGTTAACATTTGCCTTTCTCCATTTTTGTTTTTGTTTTTGTTTTTGCTTTTTCCCGGTACTGGGAATTGAATCGAACTCAGGACCTTGTGCTTGCCAGGCAGGCAAGGAGCCACTGAACTACATCCCTGGCATTTCCCTATATTTTTCAGCCACATTGTTTAAACTATTTTAGCTATATTAGTTGAGTGTTCCATATCTGAAATGGTTGGGACCAGAAGAGTTTCAGATTTTGTACTTTGAGATATTTGTGTAGGCTTCATCAGTTGAACACCCCTAATTCTCAAAACCCAAAATTCAAAATACTCCAAAATCTGAGACTTTTTAAAAGCATCATTGGATTTCAGAATTTTGGACTAGGGATGCTCAAGTTTAGGGCTTATTCCTCTGCTTTAAGTTTCCTGTCATATTCCAAAACAAGGCTTTTGAGGTTTTGATTGAAGTTGAGTTCACTTTTTGTTCAAAGGCAGGAAAAGGTGGATGTATAAGTTCCAGTTAGATGGCAGTGGGGCAGCAAGAATTCTTCCTTACTTGGAGGAGTTTCAGCATTTTTTCTACTCAGGCCTTCAAACTGATTGGCTGAGGCACATCCACGTTAGGGAGGGCAATGTGCTTTATTCCATCTACCTATTTAAATGTTAATGTGACACAAGAACACCCTCACATACACACCCAGAATGTCCGATCCAATATCTGGGCACCACATAGCCTGGTCAAACTGACAAACAAAAATTAACAATCACAGTTGTACTACAGCTGTAATCAGCTTCTCTGGTGTTACTCATTTTGTTCAACATAAATTATTTTCTTCATTCTTCTCTCCCCTTCTCTTTATTCCTATTTGTTTTATTTTGTAAAGGTTTTCCAAGAACACTTCCACAGGCAGAAGCCCTGGACAAAGCTTATCAGATAGACACAGTGATTAACCTGAATGTGCCCTTTGAGGTCATTAAACAGCGTCTCACTGCCCGCTGGATTCATCCAGCCAGTGGCAGAGTCTACAACATCGAATTCAACCCCCCCAAAACTGTGGTGAGTAGTTGTGGTGGAACTGACTCTCCCTGAACAGATTTTCCCTGGGTCCTCGTGCCTCCATAGAGTTTTGTGAACTTGGAAATCCTCTGCCTGACCAAAGCTCCTGAGGGTGTATTCTCAGGTTACTTGGTGTAGCAGACAGGTCTAGTGCACTCAACTTGGTAGTAAAGGTGCTCCAGGAGCAACAGGAGTTTGTGATTCATCCTGAAGTATTTACTGAGTTTGTACTCTGTGCCAGGGAGTGTTAAGAGGTAAGGCAGTGGGAATTTGCAACACTGGCTTGCAGCTGAGATTCCAAGTCTACAGCAGAATCTTTTTGTATATATGTTGGCATGAATTATTTAGAGGCTGTTTAGAAAACCTGTTAACTAAGATCTATGCATATTAGCTTTTTGCTACTGTAACAGATACCTAAGTAATCAAGTTAAGAAGAGAAAAGGTTTATTTTGGCTCCATTTTGGAGGTTTCAGTCCGTGATCAGTTGGCATGATGCTTTGAGGCCTGTGGCAGGTAGCGCATCGTGACGGTGGCACATGCCAGAGAGCACAGGCACTTGCTTTGTGTGAAGCGTTGCAATCATCCATCTTGGGTTGGATTCCATTTACTTAAAAGCTAACTCATTTTGGTGCTTGTTGTTTACACAGAGAAGATATTTGATTAAAAATAATGAAACTGCATATAAAAATGTCCTTCAAAGACATGTTATTTGATACCAGTCTCTTCTAACTCCTGTCTAGGGCATTGATGATCTGACAGGAGAGCCTCTGATTCAGCGTGAGGACGATAAACCTGAGACAGTGCTCAAGAGGCTCAAGGCCTATGAAGCCCAAACAGAGCCAGTCCTGGAATATTACCAGTGAGTTCTTGCTTTGTGGAACCTCTCTTACATGATGAAACACAAAGTCCATTTTTTATTTTCCACACTTCACAGCTAAAATACCAGATGACCCAATTTCAATTGGCTTAAGCAATCAAGGAAATTAGCTTGTGTAACAAGAATTCCAGAAGTAGGCTGGGCCTGTAAGTCCTAGGTTTGATCAAAGTTCTGCCATCCTCTTAGCTTTGCCTTCTTTTGTACTATTGGCTTTGTCATCAAGTTTCCTGAATGGTTGCAGACATTTGCTGGGAACAGCCAAGGCTGCTTTTTTCCTGAGGAGTAACCCTCCCCGCAGTGTACGAGAGCTCCGGCCATCCCTCAGATGAAACCAATTGAGCAGCTGCTGTTTTCGGGGACATGGTGTTCCAGGCCTGGGTCACTGCTCATTTCTTTTTTTTCTTTTTCTTTTTTTGGTACCGGGGATTGAACTCGGGACCTTCACTGCTCATTTCTGAAGCAGTCACTGGGCCGGGAAGGATAATATGGAGTCCACACCCAGAAACTTCCCAGAGACTGGGAAGTAGCCCAGTCTCACCCGTATTCCAGCCCTGTGGTGAAAGGGCTGGGATGTGGGCTGGGAGGCAAACCCAATGACCTCTGAATGTCCCAAGAGGACACTTTAGCACAGAAGAATCTTTAGTGACAACTAACCCTCAGATTATTTATCTGGCTAATGGTCTTTAAAAGCTTCTGTTCTAACATGGGTTTTGCCTGTTCTTCAGGGAATTCATATCACACAAAGTGGGAACTATATTATGTTAATATTTGGTGCAGGCTAATAGTCCCGCTCGCCTCCCCTTGGCTTCCATTCCTTTGCTTACGGAGTAATGATTCGGTGTTAAGGCAGTACGTTGTCACGGTGAGAGCACAGGCTCTGGGCCAGAATGCTCAAATTCACATACCATTGCTTTGTGATAAACTTAGCCTTAACCCCTTACTTAAACTCTGCCTGTTTTGTCCTCTGTATCAAAGTGGGAGAATAGAGGCTTGAAAGTGAGTTAATATGTGTAACTCTTAAAATTATGCCAGACACACAGCAAGCACTATTTAAGTATTAGCTGTTACAACAGTAGTTATTATTGTAATAGAGCTAAGTATGCAATAAAATCTGAAGCAATAGTCTCCAAACTTTAATAGGTATTTCTGGAGGGTGAAATGATAAAACAGTTGGCAATTCAATTACAGCAGCTGTTTCCATAATTTTGTGATTTATATAATGAGCCTGGCTTTGAAGATTACTAGCTCTGTGAGTCTGGGCAATATATTTAGCCCCCGTACCATAAATTCCTTATTTATAAGATCAGGTGGTATTAAATACAGGTATTCCTCATTAAACGATTGAGTTCTGTTCTTGCGACTGGGTCATTAAGTGAATCGGTCCCTAAATGGTGAATTGTTTGTAGTATGTACATTACAATATTCAGAACAAAGAAATGGTCAAAGGAAACTCCAGCTCGATGGTTTTGCTTTTATTTGCATAACTCTTACATGCACTACTGTAATGTATAATAGAACAGAAAACTACAGTACTGTACTATACAGTACAATCAGCAAAAATTACAGTACTGGACGAACAAGGTAAGAGAAAGGCAATGGGGCTCTGTAAACAAGATGTATAGAACTGTACAAAAAATGAGATTGGTCCTAAGTCCAAGCAACAGGTCATAAATCTGAAGAGTGGCCCTCTGATGTAAGTACAAACAGTTGATGCTGTGCCAGGCCCTTGGTACACAGACATTTAGACCCAATTCCTTTCAGGCCCCAAGAAACTCACTTTTTATATGTGCGTGAGGAGAAGAGGTAGAGAAGCAGTGTTTACCATGCAACGTGATACATGGTTTTATTATTTTATTATTAGGATTTTTTGAGACAGGGTCTCACTGTGAAGTCTAGGCTGGCCTCAGTGATCCTCCTGCCTCACCCTTCTGAGTGCTAGGATTACAGGCGTGTGCCACCATACCTGCTGCTACATGCTTTTATTAATCAGGAACCTAATTCACAATGGCTTAAGCAGAAGAGAAATGTGTTGATCATATAACTAAAAAAGTCCAAAGGTAGATAGATGGCTGGGTCTAGGTCTTGAAAAAAATATCATTAGGCATCATGGTGCATGCCTGTAATCCCCAGTACTTGGATGGCTGAGGCAGGAGGATCACCATGAGTTCGAGGCCAGCCTGGGTTACATAATGAGTTCAAGGCCAGTGTGAACAGCAGAGTGAGATCTTGTCTAAAAATAAAAAGAAAGAAAAGAAAAAAATATCATCAAGCTCTGTTTTTGGCTGTTGGCTTCAGTCTCAAGTGGGCTCCCCCTGGGTGGCAGCTCAACACTCTAGTTTACCTCCTACCAGTTCAGCGACTCATACTGAACAGCAAGCCTCATTGCCAGTGAGTCTGTGGCTGAAACAGATTAGCTATGACCATGCTGTCTTTGAAGATGGGGAGTGGAGACAGTCTCACCTGAACCTTCTGAGAAGCTTTCCAATAGTATCCAGAGTGCCTACTACATTATTGGTGGGCACATACCATACCACTGCCACAAGACTCGATAGTTCTGCCAAAATGTGGGAAGTTGGAAAAGGCTGCAGAAATGAATGGCATGGATCTTTAAGATAACCTAGTCTTTCTAGGCTTCTTCAGGCTTTTGGTACCTCTTGCCATCATTTTGGCTTTTCCTTGTATGTTCTCACACATAGAACTAATGCTAGACTTAAGTACTGGAAATATTTTTTTTTTTTGGTACCAGGGATAGAACTCAGGACCTTGCGCTTGCCAGGCAGGCACAGCCCTGCTGAGCTACATGCCTGGCCCCTGGAAATAGCATTTGTAAGAACTTTAGTGTAGCATTTTAAAATGCCAAGAGTCCAATTTTTAAGCTCTTTTCACCTGCGGTACATTAATAGAATAGGTCTGTGTTTACAAACATAATGCTCTTACTCTTTGGAGGACTAATTTTTGGAGCTGGTTCCATTTTGTTATAAAGAAATGTTCATCCAAAAAAAAAAAAGAAAGAAATGTTCATCCAAAGTACAGTTCTAGGATCAACTACGTGCTTGCGGTTGAGCCTTCAGTAATTAACTCACTTGTGACACTGTGGTTTAATATCAAAGTGGCTCTTCAAGAGGCTTAAAATTGTTAGGCTTGTTCTCTTGAAAGCCTTACTAGGTACCTGTGAATTTAGAAACTGAAGGTTTTCTAATATGCAAAGAATACTGTGTTTACATAATTTCTCTCCAGAGCAGATGTTTCTTACCAAGATGAGTGGCTGTTAGCTGTAGCAAATTTTATGGAATCCTTTTGTTCCAAGTAAAAATTCTGAAAACTTAGTAAAGAAGAGTTGCAGAGATAGATATGACTGGTCCTTTGCAGAAAGTAGTAAATCAGCATTCTTCAGTTGCTCTTATGCTGCCTTGCAACTCATGTATATGGAAAGGAGTGTTTGGGCTGGAAGCGGGCGGGGGGGTAGCAAGAGTGGCAGGCTCTGGAGGGATATGTAGTTTGAAAAGTAACCCCAGCATTCTGATCTCACTCCTCACCAAAGGACCCACAGGAAACCCAAGTAAATAAAGACTGGCTACTGTTCTCATCACAAGCTATACAAATCTACCTGGGAGAAATGGCAAAACCTAATAGGAAAAACAATACAACTTAACACTTTCTATTCCCCTTTCTGTTAAAATTCACAAAGGCAGAGTAGAAAAAAATAAACCTCTGCAAAGAGGAAGGATAATGAAATATTAGAAAGCTCATTTTGCATAAAACTTAAGTGGACAGAGGGGTGTTCTGGTGCTTGACAGGTCCCATTGGAAACCTACCACCACCAACCTGGTGATTTGGGCTAAGTTAATTTTACAAACGTGACAGTTTTATCAGTAAACTAAGAAAAGTTAAGCTTTGTAAGGGATTAAATTAGCACAGTGCATGCCTCATAAATGACAGCTGCTATTATTTTTGAGGTGCCCATTTCTGTAAGCCAGGGGGCAAAGCTGAAACTAAAATCTAGGTTTTCCAGTGACTGGCCAAGTTCCTTTCTCTCTTGATCACACGGACCTATACTTATGAAACTCCTACCTCTACATTATCATCTTTCATGGAAAAGTTTTTTTTTTTTTTTAAAAAAGGTTTATTAGGACTCAAGCCTATGGATTTTTTTTCCCCATCTTTAGGAAAAAGGGGGTATTGGAAACATTCTCTGGAACAGAAACCAACAAGATCTGGCCGCATGTATATGCTTTCCTACAAACAAAAGTTCCACAAACAAACCAGAAAGCCTCAGTTACTCCATGAGAAAAAAACCGTGTAACTAGTAAGATGAGCAGAAGAAACTCCTGTGCCTTTGGCAACTTCTGTTTTCTAAGACTCAATCATGTATGAATTCTTTGAAAATTGTTTTATTTCTACTGATTTTATTCTGGGTATTATTAAGGATGTGCCAAATGAATCAGATACTAAAATTGATCTTTTGAAATTGTCTAGTATGTTTTATCCATTTATCTTTTATAGGTGTGCAATACAAAAACACCAGATATACTGAAACTTAAAAAAAAAAAAAAGAAAAAAAATATTTTTTGGTACCGGAGATTGAACTCAAAAAAGAGTAAAATTAAAAGAGCAATTGGTAGTAATCTTTTTGTTCAGTTCAGTATTTGATAAATCAAATTTTCATATTTTCTGGAAAAGTAAAAACATTACATCTCACTTGGGGAAAATATCATGGAACTTTTGCAGTGATGAAAAAAAAAAAAAAGACATCTTGTAGTCCTGTGGAATATGGTTTTGTGAGACACTGTATCTATAGTTTCCTGACATAAAATTACAGAAAAAAACCCTGAATTTATAGATCTATTGCAAGATGCAAATTCACTGTTGCCTTTACACTAATAAACATGTAAGCTAGCTAAATATGCTGTAGTCATCAGACATAACTTTGGTTTACTCAGAATTTTCAATTTGCTATAAAAATATATCAATTAGCATATAAGAAATTACTTTTAGCTTATTTTCTTTTGAAAATTCATTTGTGCTGAGGGATACGATTTGTCAAAAATGACAAAATTCTTAAGATTGGCACCAACAGTGAATGAATTTTTAATGGAAAATATGAAGTCAGGTGTTCAGATGTTACTTAGGTTAAGAAATACAGGATCTACTTGTCACTTTCGTTTTAATCCAAATATATAATTTGCCTTGACAAATTATAGTACAAAGAAAAAATAAGAGTTGGCACTATGTAAAGTAAGCGTACTTTGTTATTAAGGAAATATAGATACGTATGCCAGGAGGATACTCCCTTGACATTAATACAACCATAATTAGCAGGTGTAGCAATAAAAATAGGCATAGTAGGTTAAAAATGATCAGGAAAGTAACTGAGTTCCCTAAAGATCATTATTCCTGATCAAAGAAAGATACCTGCTAGTGTTCACTGTTATACGTCAAGAGGAAAGAACTCTGCTGGTGTCCTTTGAGCAGCCATTTAAAATCCTAAACCATGTTTCCTTCGTAGGGCAACAAATGCTCATGTGTTGTGGCCAGGTGGAAAATGGGGCCATCTGAGAAGTAGAGGAAAAACCCATGTGATACTCTTTATTTTACTTGGTGCTAAAACAAATGTATCAAGCACTTTTACAAGCTGTTAATTGACCTTTAAGAATTTGGCCCATTTTATTCCAGGCATTTAAAATACAAGTCCCAGCCAGTGGTCCTTATGTATTGGACCACTGGGGGAGGCATATATTTTCCTTTTTTAAAAATTCATTGTTAATCTTTCAAAATGGATCAAGGTTTTTAAAAGGATTCCAGCCACTAGTTCATTCATGCCTTATTTGAATGTTAGTATTATGTGCTTTCTAAAAATGTGAACTACCGAACTTATTATCACTAGGTTATCAGGCACATGAGTTTCTACTAAAATAAAATTTAAGTACTGTGCTATTACTTTATCTTTGATAATTCACAAGGCTCACTCTACCCCACCCTTCTGTTGCCCTGACTTTTCTCATTGGCTTCATTCTAATAAATTGTCTTAAAACAGTACATATGCTGGTTTGGTTTTATGTAAGTCTTTATCTTCTGCTATGATGTTGACAGCCATACTGGCTTTCATGACACCCTGGGGAAACTTGGAAATCAAAGAGAAGGATTGAAGAATGTTATGAAAATTAAGACTCCTTTTCTCTGTGACCATTCCTTCCCCAGCCCCAAAACAGTAATAATTGTGCACATGTATCCATTACTTTGAGAAATGACAATGATGTTTTTCTTTATTAAAACAAAAATAACTTGTTTTCTGCTGAATGGGTTCATGTCACAGGGAATGTTAACAGTATCATTGCTGAGTGCATCCTGCTAAAGAAATAATGCCGTGATGTCCACTGATTTATGTGCCACATGGAAATGTCTGCAGCTGGAATGTCATGGTCAGGAGGAGCTACTATACTTTAGTTAGATAATCTCAATGCATTACTCTACCTTCTGGAGTAGCATGGTCAAGCAAAGTGTGAGGTTGGAAACAGAAAATGGCAGTAATTGTTACCACTTGTATTTCAGCTCTCAAATCCATCTGAAATAGTTAAATACTGGCTCAAATTTCTACACCCTATCCCCTGGCTACTTCCCTCTCCATCCTTTAGCTATCTCCAGTGGCATTCCAGCAAAATATTTTGGGTCCTCATAGCTTGGAATAAATCTGCCTTATACTAACAAATCATAACTACAAACTTCATGTTACATTACATTGCTGTAATACAGTACTTGCAACCAACAGAATTTGTATTTTAAAACCTGCTTATAAAGTGTGCCTTCTCACTGACAAGAGACAATGATAAACTGCAGAAATGGCTTCCCTATTCTTGCAATTGAATTTTCATTTTGGAAGTCATGGTTTAAAAAATATTTAACAGTTAAAAGTCAACCATTCTTTTTTTTTTTTTTGGTACCGGGGATCGAACTCTGGACCTTGCACTTGTGAGGCAGGCGCTGGAACCCTGGCCCTAGTCAATCATTCTTAATACATTTATAGTAAAGGCTAACACAGATCTGTAGTCTCTCTCTATCCAACTCGTTTTATTAAAAAGCTCCCTAAGGATCACAAGTTTTCCAATATATAGCACCAAATAAAGGTAAATTGTCATCCCAATGTGTAAATCAGCCCAGTATCTGCCATATTTTTCCAAAGGATTTCCAAGGGTCTGAAGAGTAAACAGTATTAATCATGGTGTTTAAAGAAACCAAATGAAAGATGTGGGAATTTTTTTTTAAAAAATCACTTCCTATACGGTATTTAGAAAACACCAAACTTCAAGTCTAATTCTTTAAAAGTTATGAACATTTTCATTATTAGATAGTAAGCAATTCATAATCAGCTTTTATTCATCTTTATATGCCCATTAATTTACATAGTAAGCAAACAAATATGAATTAAATGAATCCACTTCTCAGAAGAGCAATGAAATAGTATACACATGTAAATTACAGGTGGGAATGGATGAATAAGATTTAAGATTAAAATGTATATGACACAGTAGCAAAACTGAACACAGATAAACACCATTTCTGTCCCACATCAATTTAAGAACTAAAATACATGACCTACTTTAAGAATAGTAAATTGATATGTTTTCTCTAAAAATACCCAGGACAAATACCTACCCTAAACCTATGACCAATGTCTTCATTTTGTAAGCAATACACTTATTAAGCCAGGTGTGGGGTCATCTCAGCACTCTGAGAGGCTGAGGCAGGAAGACAGAAAGTTCAAGCTCAGCCTAGATAATTTAGTGAGATGCTGTCTCAGAACACATGCATGTTATTTGGAGAGCATATGAATTCACTTTTTGGAGGGTGGGTACCAGGGATCAAACTCAGGACCTTGTGCTTACCAGGCAGGCACTGTGCCACTGAGCTAAATCCCCAGCCCAATTCACTTTTAAAAGAATATGAATGCCAGTTTGAAAAAAGAAAGCCTGATTCTCTGAAAGAGGAGTTACAGGAGGTTTTGAGTTCATTAGGCAAAAATGGAAAAAGCCCATTAATGGTATAACTGGAAGAGAATGTTGCCCATCCTCTATCTTAGAGTAGTAATTTTAAATCAGTATTACCCACTACCATTGATAGAATGACACTGAGTTAACAGAATAAATGGAGTGATAGCTATTTGATTTTTTTAAAAGTATTTTATTAGAAGATTTTATCAAGGGAAACAAGAATCTTGGTTGAATACTTTGATGTCAAAGATGTTTCATTAATCAGTTTGGACATACCATAGTTTAACTTGTTTAGGGAAGATTGTCCATCCTGAAATAATGAGTTATCTCTTTGCTGAGTATACTCTTCTTTATTATTAAGTAACAGAAAACAGGACATTTATTTTGGAAGGAGTTCTCCATACTAAAGAGGACATTTTCAGAATGAAGAAAAAAAGGGTATTGGCTGTTTTTAGTACGAAAGTACTGTTAGTTATGTAAAGTCTTTTAAGTGCAAATTATGGCATCAGCCAGTGGTTCCCAAAACAGATACAATCATACTTTAATACACTCAAAACACAGAACATTTCCTCTTCAAAGTAAAAAAATATATATAGTTAAATTTCTAAGAACTGTTCTTCAGTAATCTCTTTTAAAAAACAATACAAACCCCTTCGGGAATAGTTTATTCAGTTTGTCCATACTTTCTCTCTCATCAGTCTTCAGCCATTAGTAGCTCTAACGTAAGGCAAAATGAAAGTTAAAAACAATTTGGATGATTACAGGCAAGCCATGGGGAAGAGTGAAATTGAAAACAGTTTGAATAAATTTCTATGACAGTAGGGTTTTGTGTGTGTGTCCATTCTCTCCATCAGTTATGAAGGGAAAACAAGAGCATGCTCCAGACAGGAAGGGGGGAGGGCGTGTCTTTCTATGACCAGAACATCTGATTAAAAATTAAAAAAAAAAAAAATTCCAGTCTGATGACTACTACTATATAAATTAGCCAAACATTTTATTATAGACAATATATTTATATCAAAAGCACAAAAGACTTTATTCTGAAAACCAGGAAGATTGTGATGTTATAGAAGGATGACTCAATAATTCCAGTCCATTTCTATATGTACTAAATGCCTAATCACCTGTTAAAACAAGGTGCAAAAGAGGCCAAGGTCACAGTTCTCATTGCCATATGGGTCCCTTAGTTTGATTTCTTAAATTGAGATATGTATTCCCAATCCCAGTTAGCCCTCTTCCAAATGTTTGCTACTAGTCTCGAAGGGTACTGAGTCAAAGACTACATTCAAATACAATCAAAGCTCATGTTCCTGTCAGATTCATCCTCAGATTAGAAGGATAGCATAGTTAGCACTGTCATCTACTTCTAAATAAAATGAATCATCAAAAATCCTGATATTTTTAACATAAATTATATAGGAAGTAGTAATGCTCAGAAGCATTCTATGGTAACAGCTAAAAAAAGGACAACAAATGTAGTAAAAGCCATTATCACCATGTGAAGGGTTACCAAGTTCTTAGAAATAAGTAGCTGGCAGCTCAAGGCAGTCAGCTCTACAAGATTTTTCATGCCTTTTACAAAAGCCTTAAAAACAAAGCTACATCAGAGTGAAATAACCATTATTTTAAAAAACTGTATCATTCTTCCTGTTTGTTCTTATAGGCCATTAGTACTCTTAAAACTTACTCCCTGAGAGATCCCAGACTATGCCAAGAAATTAAGAGTGAGCATTTTTAGTTTATCTTACTTAAAAAAAAACAATATATAAGCTCATCATTTTTTATGTCACTACAATCCTTAATATTTAAAAAGTCAACAGAGTAAAAATCAACTTCTAAAGAACACTTTAGCGAATACTTTGGGGGTAAATGTAATGTCTTTAAATCAAATTTATATTATAGTCAAGATTTAGCTGATGGTGCCGAAAATATAAATGTAATATTGTAAGAGGAAAGACTTTTACAAGTTTGCCGGGGATTTAGCTCAGTGGTTCTGCCGCCTGCCCCGCAAGCGCAAGGACCCGAGTTTGATCCCCCTTACCAAAAAAAAAAATTTGTGCCACCCAGCTTATTTAGTAAAATAGATTACCAACTACTGATTTATTGCTTTTAATGAAACACCAGATTTGACAGCTAAATTATCAGTGGGATAAAAGTATATTTTTATCTTTAATTATTTTTGTAGAGTAGGACATGGGCATATCCATATAAAAGAAGACTGTGTAGCAGATGCCTCCTAGAATCAACCAGTTCTTGTAAACATTGCATTGTGCAGATTTTCATAACTTTGATTCCAAAATTGAGAACAATTAGATTAAAGGCAAAACTAGTAGCCAGTGGGGGGTGGGGGGAGTCCAGTTTGACTTCCTCCAACATGTGGTACCACTCCTCCCTTCAAAAAACAAAACAAAACAAAAAACCTAGCAGCACATAAAAAAAGTTACAAAACGTTTCAGTACTCTTTTCCCCTCCCATCAAAAACCAAACAAAAATAAAGTGCAGCACCCATAAAAGTGTCAAGAAAATAGCCAAGTTCTTCCTTTCTGGTAACAAAATAGCACTTGGCCTCAGCAGTCTTAACCAAATTATACAGTGTCCATCATTTTTGGTTCATCATCTTCTTTATGTACCAGTGAATTTAAACTGCAGACAGCTGTAGCTGTATTGATAGAATACTGAAGATAATCTGGATTCTGAAGGAGGAAAAAAAAGGCAGGGGGAAAAAGAACACATGGTAACCAGTTTTATGCCAGTACATACAATTACATATTCTGTTTCATTCTATTTCTCTGCAGTGTAGCAGAGTAGGAAAGAAGATGAAGCTGGGAGTCAGACTTGGGTCAAAACCCAAGAAAATAAAGAACAGTTATGTTATCGCTTAAGCCAAAGAGGTATGACAAAGACAATGATATACATGAACAGAAATGTAACACCACTCTTTTATCCTTTTGAAAAAATTATAATTTTAATTATTTAATCCATACAAGAATACATTCAATTCTAATCATCCGTGTTACTGGTAATTTAAATGACAAATATGACTTTAAGCCTCTAATATACTTTGAAGATTAAAACTATAACAGTAAATACTAAAAGTGCAGAACACGTGAACAAAAGAAAAAAGCCCATTTAATGAATAAAATAAACCTCAATGAGAAATCTTTAAAGAGGCACTTAGGCTCACATTTTTTTAAAACGGAGAAAAAAAATTATTTTTAAACAATAAAAACTCAAATGTTATGAGAACAGAAAACACAAACCTTTATTCAATAAACATAAAAATAAAGCCATTATTTGTTGAAGTACCCGGGATAAAAACATAAGCCTTTAAGACCCAGGACCTAAGAAATTCTTCCCCAAGAATTCAATTTTGTCTACTCAATTTATTCTCAATATATGCCAGCTGTTTATGCTTTTACTACTGTATTATCTTGTTTCACTTATTTTTATTTAATAAGTACCAATGTGGAAAAAACACAAATGAGAGAGTTCAAATGAGACAGATATCTTAAACTTTCACATCCCACAGGGAGGCAGGGTTTTCAAAAAAATCCTCCTAATAAAGTACACTTACTGCTTTCTTTATTGTAAAACCCAAAAGCCTAGCCAGAATCTGGATTACTACCAAGCAGGTCTTTGTGAAAGAAGTGGCACCAATAAACTGATTTAGGTCTTGGACACTCACAATGGACCTCAGTTCTAACCTTGCATTTACTTAATATTGTAATCCTCAAGAGAAAAAAATTACTCAAATTTAGTAAAACTGAGAGCTAGTCTATAGACTAAACCTAAAGTAACTGTTAACTATATCAGAGTTGGTTTAGTCCTATTAAAACTAAGGATAATAGTAGTCTTTAGCATATTTCACAAGACTGCTGTCAACTACAAAAAAAAAAAGTATTCAAATTTAAGCTTTATAAAAAATGGTCAACACAGTTGTTATATTATCCCACTTTTTTCGAAAAACAATGTTAAGTTCAAAACAATCTAGACCAAATTCCAAAGCCCTTCTCTATTAAAGTCTGGGTTCCAGTTTTCCATGACAGAATTCGAATATTTAGAGTTGGCTGAGGAGTCTCTACAACTCACTCAGCTTCCTAAGAACCGAGGACACTATCATGCAAAGACTTAAAAAACAAAAAGCATCAGTATCCCTAACCTGACACTTAAAATTCTTCTGATTGCCTCATATTCTCACCTAATAACATTCTCAACACTTTTCTTGTCCAGTGACCAGTGCTTCCTAAGAGCATATGACTGTCTTGTCCTACTTTTAGTATTTGATTCAACAGTCTGTGATGTTAGTGAATGAGAAGTAGGAAACTCAGGATTAGAAGATTTGTTCATAGATTAGAAGATGCAGAAACAACGCCAGACACACTCAGCCATCTCATCTTCGATAAAGGAGCCAAACACCCTCACTGGAGGAAAGATAGCCTCTTT